CCTTTGAAGAAAAATTAGGAACACGCAAAACATTTTTTTTTTATTCATTGTAAAGTAATAACTAGGTCTGAGATTCTCACTTTGCATTAWTTTTTTAAAGCTGAAACAGATACACTGAAGATCGTTTTTAACATATACGTTCGATGTATTTTTGAATTTTATTGGAACTTAAAAAGCTTTTATTTTGCATTTTAAGAAATTTTAGGGTTTATGATGAATATAACACTAACATCCGAATTTTAATTGACATTTTACTTTAGAGATTTTTGTTTAAAAGTTGCTAACAAGGATTTCTTCTATTTGCCTAATTTAATTTTTTAATCGTAAGTTCTTGCAACATTTCTGAACGTTGTAAAAATTAAGTTTACAAGTGGCGAGGAAAATTTCTTTTTGCCTCAAAACTTGTTATTGAAATAAAAAGTACATTTTATGTACCTATTTGCTGTATGAATAATTATACACGAGCATTTTTCCTTTGGTTATTATATAGAATTATACATTCCCAGCCCTAGTTATGACTTTTAGTGGTTTTCTATACATARCATTCATCTTGGAGCACCCCTYCCCTCATCGAAAAAATTCTGATTGCAACACTTGTGATGTATATTATTATTATTATATTGGGTAGGTACGTTTGTGCATATAACGATAGGCACGTACGCACGTATGCGTATTCGACATAATTGTATAAAATGTATTATTATTACAYTTAACTAATGTCATTGTGCCGAATCGACGATATATCCATTGTATATCGCCGCGTCGATGGAATGGCCACCAAACCGGGGCGGTGTTTCGACCGTTTCGAGGTCACTTCACGTCGACGACGAAATTCGGTGGCTCTCATTCGAAACACAGCTCTATRGTCCGTGTTGTTTAATTATTCTAACCCTCGTCGTAGCACTTATTAATTATTCGAAATTAGTTATGGTTTAGAGACCGCGCGCGAATGAATGAGACGACGAAAACGACAATGTTACCCGAAGAAAGTTTCTCGGTCYCCCGAAGGCTGTGGTATKATTATTATTGTTATTACTATTATACATGCACTATGCAGATCCATAGATACGCGTTTATATTATTATTATTATATATTAATATAGTACCCCCGTTCACMTTACTCTTCTCGTTATATGCTAAACAAATTCGGATCCGTAACCTTTCAACACTTGATTGGATTTCGGAATATTAAATCATATTTACACAATATTATTACTATTGCTATTATTATATCTATATACCTACCGGAAGCGAGGAAGAATGCCGTCGTACGATCTGCCGCGGTGACTGCGTACAATATTAATAATATTGTTATAATGATATGTATATATAATATAGCCTCCTTTGTATATATAATATTCCTATTTAAAATACGCGCCGCGACGGTTTCTACGTAAACGAATTATTTTTTGACTATATCATAATGATGCCGACAGACATTATATTCTCGCTAAACGCATAGTACACCGTTTACAAACTTAATACATTTTGGTGTATATATTTTACGGGGCGCCTTATAGTTGCGTCCCGTTAAAAAGATATACATGAATTGCATCCCACTATATTTGTTAGGTATAGTTAAATTGTTTCAGAGGTTCTCCGAGGTATATTAATTATAAAGGAGCCTGGGCTCTTATATGATGTTTCGATAATGATATAAATTACAACAGGTAATGAATAAATACAAACCTAATTTTTGACTGAAATTGTGATTAACAACATTAGTGTTATTATTTATTTAATTATGGACTATATTGATTTTGATTTTGATTAGATCAAAATGATTTAACATTTATTTACTTTTTCATTACATTTCATTAACAATTTTTTGATTGGCTTGTGATCATATTTATAATTGTTATTTATTTTCGTAAGTTTCTTAAGAACCCCTGATTAAAATACACGGATTCCGTCCTGTATTTTTTGGTACGCGATTCGTGTACACCTTTTTTACGGAACGCAACTAAAGTGACCCCATTTTTAAACTTTTATATTCCATCCGACGATAATGCGTACTCCAGTTACATTATCCGTAATAACGCCACTCTGTAATCTGCACAAAAAGTTTTCGCATCGGTTTCGTTCAAAATTTAAACTGTCGTACAATTAGATTTTAATTATCCAGCAGTTTTCACTATGGCAACTTTTTGCAACAATTATTATTGGTACAACAAAATATACTTGATATGTCATATATATATATATATGTGAGTTAATTACCTACGTATAATAATATAGTGAAAACTCCCTTATAATGAAGCTCCCCTGAATTGCGAATAAAGTGTCAGTCCAAGTGTTCGGAATTCAGAGGTTAGGTTAGGTTAGGTCCTAATTTAATCGTAGGCAGGTGTTTAATACTATAACTAATTAGCCTATAATTATTATATAATAATGACTGTTTGATATTTCTTAGTCACATCGTAACCGTAACGAAACAAAAAATGTTATAGTTGTCAAAGTTATGCGATTATCGCGTGTACCTATACTGCAGTACAGTTTGATAAACTATACAACTGTATATTTTGTCTTTTAATTTAAACTTTATAATTAAACTACATATTTCATACAACAATGATTAATCTAGCTTTCTTTTTAATATTTCTTCTGTTTTTTTTTTCCATCGCGCCTTCTCTAGCGTAAAAAATACGACAGTAATAAAATCGTAATAGTACAATATAATCTCAATACCATATACAATATACATGTTACATGTATAATGTATATATGTATATTATGAAGTTGTATATACATAATTTTCTAAAATTAGCAATAAATCATATATAATGCGCGTTTTCTTTAATATTGAAGAAACGTTATTTATACCTATATTGCATCTGTATCTGTTTACTGGTATTCTAAAATAATCTATTTAACTGTACGTCTGCTGCAGTATATACAAAACATTTGAAATGTTGAACCGAAAATTATATTTTAAGTTTTAGATACTTAAAACTGGAACTACATGACACAAACATAGATGGTATAAGTAAATTGTAAATATTAAAAGACTATTCTAAAACGGTTAGGTAATTAATTTCTCAAATCGATTAAAAACTAAAACTTTAACATAGGTATCGAGTATCCACAAAAACAGGCCAAATACAAAAATTATTATATTTTAAATCTTAGGAACTTATCATCCAATAGTTAAGTCTAGTGTCGCACAAACAGAATTCGAATATATTATGTTTAGGGTACTGAGGGTATAAGAGGACCGCGGATAGCAGTATTCTGATAAACAGTTCCCACCCGTTCCTTATTGTTTATTCAACGATGAAAAAAAAATAAAAAGTGTACCGAGTAGTAAAAGTAACTGAATTATACCTGTACACCATATTAGCACGCATTGTTTTTGTGAACACGCTGTACTCGTATTATTAGGTAAAACTATTAAGTTTCTTTTGGAAAAATCGTAGGTAACTGTAATTTCAGTTAAGCAACAGATTTCCACCATACACACACGCGTACACGTAATTCCTTAGCTGTGATTGGTTGGTTATGTTGGATTACCACTCGATTAACCACTTAACCGTGCATTAACATTTTTCGTGTACACGTGCATATAATAACCCACCACCTTTACTGCAGGAAACATTAGATTTTTGATGGTTTAGGTTAGGTTAGGGTAGGGTAACGACTCGGTTAATTATAAACGTTGACATTTATCATGATTAATGCGCTTAATACTGAGCAGTGCCATCCAAAAAGTTACTGTAATTATTTATATATTTGATATACGATTTTATCAGATTCAATTTATCATATTTTCAACGCTCCAACAAACTTTTTACGAACCAAGCTGTTGTATTGGTAACTGTTCATAAATACTTTGATCGTGATCAGATTGTTTGGCATATATTAAAATATTATTCTATAGCTGCAGAGATATTCAAATTGTGCTTCGCGGCTCCCAGGGGCATCGCGATAGTTGATAAAGCGAGCCGCGTCAAAGCACCGGAAACCAACATTAATGTACTTCTTGTATAATTAATATTCGTAAATATTATTTATAATCATTATGGAAACAATAGTGAAACACGCAGTCGTCAATCGATCATTTGAAGTTTTATCTCTTGTACTAAAGTCATTATTGTTTATAGACCATCTACAATAAGGTGATTGTTTAAGCATGTTCATCCCCATTTTTCCCTTTAATAATACATTTATCCAAATTCTRAATTTTAGATTTTTTTTAAGTAGACTTAAAGACCATAGTTTTAAATTTCTGATATTTTTTAAACTACTTCAAGGAGTATCCTGTGGCGATACCAACTTCTATTTTCAAATGATCCTAACCACGGCCCGTATTTTTTAAGAAAATTATTTAGTAAATAAATTTCTGAGTTGTTAAAATGTTTATACTAAGGATAATAATCCTTAAAAATGGTTTTATAAAAATAAAAATATGTTAGATTTACCTAGTATTTATCATAATTGGATCATTTTTACAAATTATTTTTGTTGATAAATCAATAGTAATTGCTAACTTTTTCAAATCGTCTAAGCCCACTATCTTCCATAATATAGATATATTATCCTTAAAATAAAAAGTTACGTATAACTCAAAAACTACTAGCTTGAATTTTGATTTAGATACATCAAGATTATCAACAACAAAATATCAGCGCTTACTAGCAAATTAAAAATAGGATGAGCATGCTTCAAAAATCATCAATAGGATACTGTACCTATCCGTTTCGTTTCGATTTTTACATAATAATTTGGCCGCAGCAGCCGTCAAAGTATTGTGAACACAAAAAGGAGCCGTGAAATAAAAAAGTTTGAATACCTCTGTTGCATAGCTATTATAGGGTATATACATGCAGAGATATTTTTCCCGTTGTCGACGCATTGCAATCACCGCCGCTACCTATAATAACATGCGATTATTAAACATAATATTATCACTATTATCACCAAAAAATGTATAAATATAAAATTAAGTTACAATTGATTGACCACCGTAATAATATTGTGTATATGATAATATTATTTTTCAGGGTACATGTCATCGCCGGAGAGAGCTAGTTCTAGGACCGGCGGATACACGGCCGCCCCGTATATGTCTCCGGGAGGTTCATCGTTCGACGACAACTCGTATTATGGCTATGGGCCCAGGACTGGGTCAATCACTCCGGTGATCGACGAAGAGACCAGGTAAATACGAACACCGTTTAAGATGTTATTACGAATATTATTGTTTTATTCGCAGGTAAAAGTTATTGACGAATGTCGATTTGGACGATTGTAAACGGGCGTAACACGTTTCCACCAAAAGTAGACCTTTCCCTTTTCCATCAATACCTGTTTCCACCAAAGGTGTATCTTTCCCTTTTCCACCAATATCCGTTACCACCAAATGAGATCTACCTATAATTAAACCACGGTTAATTTACCAAAATAATTTATATACTACGCTTATATTAAAATCTTTAATGCAGTAATAAGTTTATTTAAAATACTAAAATGCTGGATTGAAAAAAATGATATATTAATGTATTTAGTTATGTATATGTATATTGTATCTACTTATATATATAATTGGATGATATTTTTTTCCAATCGTAGAATATAGTAGTATACAATTGTTTTTGTAAAAACGTTAGGTTATTTGGTGGAAACGGATATTGGTGGAAAGGGGAAAGATACACTTTTGGTGGAAACGGGTATTGGTGGAAAAGGGAAAGGTACASTATTGGTGGAAACGGGCATCGCCCTTATAAACTCTCCCGATGGTGAACTCTCCTGATGGTAAACTCTTCCGGGTCTACTCCAGTACTAGTTGACGGAAATGTGTAAACTCTCCCGGGCCTAGTAAAAATCATAAAATAAATTTAATATACATTTAAGTTGCGTTTAAAAAATATTCGATCGTATATAATAATAATAAGAAGAAGAAGAACAATATAAATTAATGTCTTTAGGTGCTATGCGCTATAATATTATAGTCAAAATTAAAAATACAATAAAAAATAAAATTTCAAAAAATCTAATCTACATTTAAGTTTCTTTTAAAAATAGTCAATAATAGTAATAATAATAAAAATAATAATGATATAAGTTACAAGTACAAAATATACATAAAAATGTTAAAATTATTGTTTTTGATAACAAGAACATACAGATTTTAAAAAAGTTAGGGAATCTATTTTTTTTTTAGTTAACCCGGGAGAGTTTACACGCTTACTTTAGGTAAACATAATATTAACCCGGGAGAGTTTACTATTTTTAAAAATCGGGAGAGTTTACCACCGCCCGTTAATTTAACTATATATACGTAGCTGTGTGATGGTATACCTACGTATATTTATTGTATTAACAGTGTTATGCTGCACACGCGTACACACCTAAAAGATAGAATCGTCAAAAATATTATTATACAGTGTCAGCTTTGCTATCTATTATACTAAACACTATAATATATGATATTTCGCATATAATATATGGACGTATTATCATTATTCTCATTATTATTATTATTATGGCCATATCATCGACGGCACTGTAAAACTATACTGTCCATATAAAAAAAAAATCTGTATATATATAATGGTTAGAACATTAACATTTTAATATAGTTTCGGGTAGTCAGTATTGTGATCATCATCACACGCGCACAGCAGCAGCTGTATTGCTGTAAACAGTTTGAATATTTTCGAAACATAGTTTTCCAATAGTTTAAAAAACTATCGAACTATGCCGGCGTGACAACGAACATGAAAATTTGATTCTGTATATCTATTATAATATTTATGTTTAATATTATTATGCTAATAATAATGTTTTTCGTGCGCTGATAATATTGTCGTTATTTATGGGGTTTTAAGCAACATTAGTTCCGAAAACTTTTCGTCATAATTATTGCAGTGTACCATGCAGGTATAGTGATATAGGTGATGGTGATAAAAACATTATTATTTTATTACCCATGTACAGTATGTGTTAAAGTTAACCAAAATATATAAACATATACCTACCTGTTACCATGTAAAATAAATATGATGCATTATGCTGTTGTACACAGGGTGATTCTCCAAGCATATTCACCCCCAATTTTTCCTTAAATAGTGATTTAATTCTGATCTAGGATTTTTTTTTATACTCTAATCGGTAGGTTAGGTTAAATTAGGTATAATAGGTAAAAATATTCTGTGGCGATACAAACATCTGGTTTTTTTTCCAAATGAGAATTTTTTAACCTCCCTAACCTCCCCCCTTTGTAACTATAAATTATTTAGTGGATAATGTTTTTTTTTCTTTTGATGTTGATGGACCATAAAATTAGTTTTACAAAAAAATATAAAATAGACATAATATTGGAATAAGTATTTTTTATACATGACCGTTTTTATAAATTATTTATGTTGATAGGTTAAAAWTATTAATGACTAACATTTTGTTATTTTGATTTTGATACGTCAAATTTTTTAGAAAAATAATCAACGTAAAGCTTAAAAGGTCGGTTCTCATTAAGAAAAAAAAATAGAAGATTGTATCGCTACAGGACACTTCCAAATATTTTTAAGAATTTGATAATATAGACTTTGAATAGATACATTTAAACATCCCAAAAATCAGATTTTAATTAACTGCATTATTAAAGAAAATAAGGGCTGAGAATGCTTGTCGAGTCACCCTGTATACATATTATTATGTTATTAATTTAGATTTATGACGTAGTTGTTTAACAACGTAGTATAATGTACTTGTGTATTACACTTTTTACAAAATATTTCACGTACGTTGCAGTAATCATTAATAATAATCGGACCGCTTGCCTGCGGAACCGCATAATAATAATAATAATAATAACCATACATAAGTAGGTATTATAATAATTCACCAAACTTTAAACAGTTGAAACACTAAAAAAGGTAGTGAAAACGTAAACTTAATCAGACTTAGTTAACTGCGAGCGTAACGTCTTTGGTAAAGAGCTGTTAAATTTTATTATTTCAATAAAAACGATCGTAAATTTGTAAAAAAAAAAAAAGTAATAATAAATAAACTATCGTTAGTTACGAGACAGTGGTTGCGGGTTTACACGCGTGCAGCTTTCAACAAATTAAAAGGGTGTTACACCATTATTCACCTTCTTTGTCTGCTGCTGTACATGTCCTACGCGTGGCATTACGCTGTATTCACTTTCGTCATTCTTAAAAAAAAAAGAAATAATAATAATAATATCCTTTCCATTATTATGTTCCACTATTATGTATATTGTGTATAGTGTTAACCTGAATCGTAAATTAAATCACGAGAATATTTTTTTTTTATGTCCGTTCTAGAATTATTTTTTCGCTATTAAAATAAAAAATGAGCTGGAAATACCTTTTAAATACTTCTCTTTTTGTTAATATGTTTTTAAAGTCATTTTATAAAATTGGCGATTGACATTAAAAACATCTCGTTGTATTGCAAGCATCAAAATCGATGTTTTCTATATCAGGTATTTTTATAACAGCTGTTTTTATGCCTTTGAATTCGAAAGATATACTTACTTTTGGGAAACACTAATGCGTTACTCTTGTAAAAGGTAAAACGATGTTAAACGAGTAAATATAAAGTAAAATAATAATATAATATAATCAATAATATGAGTTGCTTWAAAGACTTGGTGCACCGTATGCATTAAAATTAAAATTTATCTGACGGATTGATTAGTAATTATAGTTATTAAATTTAACAATAATATAAATCTCGACCAAACGTGATTTATAGAATAAACTTAATTAACATTAAAGTCTGTAGTACGAGGTAGGCAGGCAGGTAATACCATATAGTTAGATCAGACACAATTCGACCGAATTCATAAATATCTTTTTGAATTTATTTGGTTCAAAAATGGTAAAAATTTTTCAAAGTAATATCTCGTGTCTTTATTATTAAATACCTTCATCGATAATGGATCGACATTTTTTGGGTCTCTTATTTATTATAAGATTATTATTTTCTTAAACGCGATAATAGTAAAATAATCGAAATATATATATCGGGCTGAACGCGCGTCAACTATATACACTGCCTACCCATATTACATTATAATAGTTTTAAACAATATATAATTTAATGACACAATATATAATGATATAATATTACGTTGTAAAACGATACTCCGCTATGGACTATCGCGTATATATTCGTGATTTTAATATACCATCAGTCATCTCAAATTTAATATAATATTTTCTGGTCCAGTCTCCGTGCGAATTGCCATCTGTGTAAAGACGATCGTCGATCGAACGTTTCGGTCAATACCACGTCGGCATCGTATTATTATTATTATTATTATTATAATCTCATCATCGGGACCGTGTCCGTCTTCTCTTATATATTATTATTATATTAGGATTGCCTCGTTTGGGCATACTGCGTAGGGACCTGCGTATATAATACTATATATAATATATTAAATTTCTTATTGTCGACAAAGACCGGTCACAACACAGACGCAAACCCAATTATTACTCAGGGGTTGCTCAAGTCCCTCCAAAATCAACTTATCAGTAACCCACGAGAGACTACGTCCCTCACACTCCCCAATAGTCATAAATACTCTACAACGTCTTATTAATACAAATATAATGATGAAAGAGCAAATTGTTATTGAATAAATTACTATAAACATAATATATTTAATATAAATTTTTATTATAAATTATAATGTAATTAATGTGTATCAAACAAATTAAACGATTTTAAAAAAATAAATAAATTTAGTGCGTATAAATTATTAATCAATAAATATATTTTTCTATAGTTAGGAGAGTCTACTTTAAAAAATATATTTTTAAAATATTTTAATATAAATGCATAATATAACATATAAATTATTATATTTAATATGGGGATACTATTATACTAATTTTGACTTTGGGGGTGCTAAGCACACATAGCATCCCGGGATTATTGCCTATGGACCACACCATGAAATTATTATTATTATTATCTTTGCGAAGCCCGAACCAGCTAACATAGTACATTTTTATTACAAGTGCGCGTCATTTCGATCGTTTCCGTTATGCGCAAATTTAAATTATAATACGTATTATAGGCTTCAATCGACAAAATAATATCACACACGTATGTGTATTATTAGGTACCTACAGGTTGTAAAAATATGTCGTTTTGTATTATACCAATATTGAACTTAAACC